CTCAGTGAGGAGGCTTCGCAGCCTGAGGGCCTTTCAGTCCCAAACAGCACCACAGACATTACACAGCCTGGTGTTGACAATTAACATCAAAGCCAACTGGCCAAACAAACACCAGACACTCCTGTTTTGTATACATTAACACACACACACACACACACACACACACACACACACACACACTCACGCCCAAACACAAAAACATCTCTCTTTATGTCATCAGGCTGTAGAGTCACACACATGTCCCATTATGCATTATATGCCACACACACACATTTTCTAAGCTGCTTATCCTTCTGAGTCACGGGGGGAGCTGGAGCCTATCCTAGCGGTCACTGAGCAGAAGGCATGAAACACCCTGGTTAGGCTGCCAGTCCATCACAGGGCATTATGTACACCAATTTATCATTATTATTATTATTATTATTATTATTATTAGTGGTAGTAGTAGTTGTTCATTAAACATCCAGCTTTAAAATGCACAACTTGGCCATTTTATCAGAAACACTTCCATACAGTTGGACTATGTAGGGTTACAGTAACTGACTGTAGCCCATTTGTTGCTGCACAGTTTGTCAGCCTCACTCCACACAGTCCCTCAGTGGAAGAGGACAATTGCAGGATTGCGGGAACAACAATGACCAGATACTTGAATGGTGGACCGTTCTGAGCACAGCTGTGACACCCAGTTCACATGCTGTTTGTTGCGACATAAAGCATATGGTTGTTGGGATCAGACGGTCGTGTAACAATTGTGACAGATATAACCAGAGCTGGTTTATGAGGAGTCTGGCCACTTCCTATTTCCCCTGTTATATCGAAAAAAGGACTGCAAAACAGCAGAGGGCGCCTGCGAGCGAGACCTCAATGAATGGGAGTAAATGAAGCTAAATGTTAAAATAGTCTCTAATCACTCGCCCAGAACTTTCCTTTAATTTCAGAACGTAGAACGATGGATTTCACTAAAACGGCAAAGAAAACTCATCTGTATGTATATAACTCGAGTTTAAAAGCTCTTAAAAATATAATAGCAGTGTTTAACAGTGTTAAAATGTTTTATGCTGCTCTTTGTTCAGGATTTATAAATTATGATTTTGCTCAATTGCTCCATCTTAACCCATTCATTTAGTGTTTGAGAAACCTGGAAAACATTACAGAGTGATAAATCTCCTCTTACCTAACTCAAAGGTACAACATGGTTCTGAAAGTCTAATTAGTACCTTGAAAATACTTTTTGAAGGTAAAGTACATTTGATTTACATGGGGAGGTGCACATTTGTACAATTTAAAGTAGAAAAATAAAATAAAAAATCCTGGAATAGTCACAGGGTGTGTGGAGTCAGAGTGACTCGCCTCCCCAGTGACAGTTTAGTACCTACGTTTCTGAGCTTGTAAGTAAGCCCTGTTTTTCATCAGGACCTGGTTGTCCGGAAAATGTGCAAAAAAGCTTCGGTAGCCACAAAAATCTGATGTGATTTGAAATTTGAAAGTTGTTGTGAAGCTCAGTAAACCATTTAGTGACATGGAGTGTTTCTGTTTTTCTGCCTTCTCCTCTAACTGGCACCTTCAGGAGGAATCCCAGCCACGGAAATACTGCGCAAGGGCCTGAATGACCTCTCAGATGCCTCTAGACATGTCCTTCAGACTTTTGAGGTGAGATGGACACACATACACACAGGTTTATGATTGTACTGTATGAAGATGTGGGGTCATGCATGTGCCTCATATCTACAGTCATATGCAAAGGCTTGAATACCTCTGGTCAAATTACATGTTTTGTTGACTTTCTAAGTGAAAGTATGTGTAAACATCCTCAAGAGGGAACTTAGAGACACTTAATCAAGGCATTTTCCTGCTAACTTTAGTGCAGAATTTCTATTCACTGAGTGCAACATAAATAAAACAAATAAAATGTGTCCCAGGCAGAAGTGTTTTTTTTAAAACATGTAATTTGACCAACATTTGCGTATGATTGTGTATGCAAGTACCAACAGTCGTATACAAAAGTTGAACGCCCTTCCTTAATATGTCCCAAATATGCATTATTAAATGTGTGTTAATATATATGTAAATACCTATGTGTAATAAGAATTTAATAAGCCTAAAAGAAACGTTTTTGCTCTTTTAATAAAAGAAAGAGAAAAATCTACCTTTTTATAAAACGTTATAAAACTTTACAAAGTCAGGACTATTCTCTTGGGTTTCCTCTTATTTTCTTACATTTTGACCCGAAAATGCACAAAAACAAACACACACTAGCATCACCAGCACCGACTCCTCCTTGACACTCGGCCACCTGCTCTCCTCAACCTCTCGATAAACTCCTCTGCCTCCCTCTCCCTGAACTTCCTGTTAGTGTTGGCAGGCCTTTAGTGCAGATGGTCTCCCAGCTTTTCCCACTCCCTGCAGGATTAATGAGGTGTGTACTGTTGGGACAGCCCTGAGACGGTCACTCTCTCAGACCAGGATATCCGCCCTGCGGTGCTGGCCAGGGGCTCAGAGG